CAAACTACGAAAACAGCTTCCCCCCCCCACCCCCCGGTTTTACATTAAATCCTAAAAAAAACAACCTTCTCCCTAAAATAGGTCAAAAAAATCAAATCACCAGAGGTTACAGAGAGGAAGCCCAGCGTGCAGCGGCTCTCTCCCTCTCTCTCTGCACAGCCCACGTTTCTGTACATACGTGTATTTTTCCATTTAACTCCATCTTTCAGCCACATTACAGCACAGAACGCGATACTTTACTTGAATATTGCTGGTTTAAGACCGATCCCATTTCCCAACAGAAATTCTCTCCAAATTAGTCTCTCCTTGCAAGGCGGGCCCGGGGGCGAGGGGGGAGGCTGGGCGAGGAGGGGTGGAAGAGAGAGAACAAGCAAAAATTGGGCAGATTGCACAACAACTGGCTATTGCACATGCCGCGCTGAAACCACTATTTTCCAACGTGCATCCATCCCTCCTTGGAATAAACTTTGGATTAAAGTTGGGGGGACAGGTGTACAGCCGTTTTCTCATCCCACCGCTGAAACTGTGCTTAATCAAACAGGAACAATTCAAACAATAGCCCCCTGAAAGCTTTTCAAGTTCTGAATCGGTGTGGGCGGTACGGAACAGTTTTTGAGATCTGCAACAATAGGTTTGTAGAAAGCCCCCTTGCGCGAGCTGATAAAAAAGGGGTAATGCATAGTGGGGTTAAAAGGGGGGTGGGGGGGAGGAGAGAGAGAGAGAGAAAAGGAGAGAGCGAGCGAGCGAGCGAAAATCATAGTAAAACAATAGAAAAAGAAAATTAACCTTCGGCCATGTTGCCCCACGGGCCCTCTGCTCCAAACTCGTGAGATGAAAACTTTCCCTTTGGATCGAAGTGGTCTTCTGCATTAATCTAACATCCTGATTTTGAACGATCGCAAATTTAGCTCGCATGGTCTAATGTGCTTTCCCTCTTTTGATTTTTCCCCTTCTCGCTCGCTCAGTTTCTGGCCCCCTGCGCACACGTGACTTTGTCAATTACATGCTTTCTTGCTACTAATTTCACATCGGATCCTTAAGGGGTTGGCGAGAGGCAGGAGCAGCCAATCGCCATTTCAACCACGCTGACACACCAAAATAATTTATGAATGAACAAGAAATTTCAAGCACTTCTTCTTTTTTTTTTTTTTTCGACAGCTAGTCTGCACACTTCTTTACGGGAAACCGAGATGACGTATTCTGGGGTTTCTGTATTCCCGTGCCTGCACAAATACGTAGGAAGATACGCATATTTATACATGTCGTATAACAATAAATTTAACTAGAGGCAGGCATGCGGCTGAGGTTACTAGCATAGCGCACACGCTGCAGGTGGGGTACGCATGCACATACGCGTGTAAGCTGTTTACAAACGACACGCGTAAATGCAACGCGCAGGCACTAGGTACGCCGGGGGCATCAGCGCCAGCACGTGCTCCATGCATAACAAAGACTGGGCAGGAAGGAGAATGAAGGAAGGAGGGAGGAAGGGAGGGAGGGAGGGAGGGGGGAGGGCCGCCTGCGCGGGCGCGCAGCGCCGCGGCCGCCTCCGCTTCGCGTTCCTTGAGCTCGCGTTCAAATCAAAAGCGCAGCGGAAACGCGGTATCACCTTAATATGGCCCAGAATGTACCGGGGTTTAGCGTTTCAAAACATTTCTGGAGGGGGATGGGGCGAGGAATTGTACTTCACAGGTTTCTCCGCCATCTCTTTCCGGGGGAGGGGATGTGATTAATGACTTCCTAAATAAGAGCCCAGTTTTCAAGCCTGGCATTAGAGTGAACCTCAATCAGCAGCGATTGTTCCCCGGGAGCGCGGTGGGGGGGGGGGGGGGGGGGGGGAGTGACA